CCCCCCCCGCACCGCCCCCCCCCCTGCTCCGCCTCCCCTCTCCCCCATCGTGGCATGCACTCGCGCGGCCCGCTCGCCGGTGGCGCGCCGGCGCCGATTCGCACCGCCTGGTCGCCCGTAGTGATGCCTGCGGCGGCGGCAGCAGCACCAGGGGGAGAGGCTGCAGCAGCGGCGGCGGCGGCAGCGGCGGCGGCGGCGGCGGCGGCGGCGGCGGCAGCCATTACCGGGACCGTGGTGCCGCTGTTCCAGCTGCCGGGCGAGGACGAGCACCTGGTGGCGGTCTTCGGCTTGCTGGTATCGGGTCCCGGGCTGTGGCTGTGCGTCGGCCAGCCGCCGGCCGGCTGCCAGGGGGATGGCGCTCCCAGCGAGCCGCGGCTCGAGCCGACCACCGGTGGCCCTCTCCGGTGGACGGTGGCCCGGGGGCGCCTGCTCCCGGGCGATCTTTCGCCGAGGCTCGTCGGCCAGGTCCCCGAGCATTGGCCGCTTCTGGGGCCGCGATCGACCATTGTCCGGCTGGCGGCCGCCAGCCTCGGGGCCCGGCACTTCCTGGCCCTGGCCACGGATGATCGGGCGGTTCTGGTGGCCGAGGTCTTCCAGGCGGAGTGTGCCTCCGGGGGCATCCATCTGGCCGGCCGGCCGCCGGCCGTGCTCGGACACACCACCGAGATCACGGCCCTATGCTTGGCGCCGGCCTCCCCGGGGGCGTTACTGCTGGCGGTCGGCTCGGCGGCCGGCATCCAGGCCCTGGTGGTCGAGCTGGACCCCGAGGGCCGGGGGGAGCCGGGGCCGGGCTCGACCCCCGAGGACACGGCCCCGGGGGCTGCCCTCTTGCCCGGGTGCATGGCCTGTGATGCGGGTCCCCAGCCCGGGCCGGTGACCGCCTGCGCCTCGGCGGTGACCACCTGCGCCTCGGCGGTGGCCCCCCTGCCGGCGAGCCTGCGAGACTCGCTCTTCATGGCGCAATGGTGTACAAACGTCCTGATTTGGCAGCTGGCTCCGTCGGCCGGGGGGGACTTCCTGGCGGCGGCCAGCTGCGACGGCCTGCTTGGGGTTTGGGCCACCGGGGATGTGCTCCGGTGGGCTCGGCATGTTGGTGCGGTGGCCCGGCCGCGGGGAGCGGCACGGGCCCTGGCCCAGGCGCGCTGCCCGGCGGTGGTGGCCCGGCGTCTGTGCGAGCTCGCCCGGCCCCGGGCCACTCTTCCCCGGTCGCTGTCGGTGGGCCCGGCCATGCAGGCGGAGTGTGCCTTCGCCGATGCGCTCCTCGGGCGGCTGCACTCTGATGGCGTGCGCGCCGGGGGTTCCGGCCGCCTTGCTCGCCCGGCTTCGCTCGAGGAGGGCCACCTGGCCGAGGCGCTGTCGCGCCTGACGGCCGACCTGCTGCTCGCCGGCCGGGATGCCCTTGGGGAGGAGGCGTTGCGGCGCTGGCGCTCGCCGGCCAGCTGGCTGGACTCGCAGTCGGTCGGCACGCCGGGCTGGTCCCCGCGTACGCCAGCAGCCGGCCCGGGTGCCGGCGGCCGTCTGGACTCCCCGGCAACTGGCAGCCGGTCCGGGCCCGGGACCGGGCGCTGGTCGGCCGGCCGGCCGGGCACCTCCCCCCGACCGGCGTGGGGCCAGGACGTCGGCCCTGCAGCGTCTATGGGCGGGCCAGTCGGCGGCGGCGGCGGCGGCGGCGGCGGCAACGCCCCAAATCGACCCCCCCGGTCGGCATCTCAGAAGAAGGGCCGGTCGTTGGTCACCTCGCGGCGGGACCCCGCTGCGCCGGCGACCCCGGCCAGTCCGTCCCTTGGTCGGGGCGCCCAGGAGGCAATGGCCCTCGGTGGCTCGCCGGCGGCGGTGGCGCGGGCGGCGGAGGAAATGCCCGCCGCAGCACCCGGCAGCCCTCCCGCGGCAGGCCCAGCCGAGCTGCCTGTAAGCCCGCCGCCGGGTGGGCCCCCTGGCGGTCGGTCGGCCGGGTCGTCCTCGCCGCCGGCCAGTTGGGCCAGCGCGGCGCGAGCACGCCCGCGGCCTGGCGGAAGTGCGCCCAGCTCGCCCGGTCCCTTGGTCGCCTCGGCCATGGTGCCCGGGCTCTTCGGGTCGCCGCGCACGCCGTCTCAGCCCTGGGCGGCTCGGTCGCGACCGCCGTCGCCCTCGCCGGGGCGCCTGGAGGACCAGCTACCGGCGGCGCTGCACGAGGACCCGGGCCCTGGCGCAGGGGCGCCGGACCCGATGCTGGACTGGCCAGCCCTGGGGTCGCCGTGCGCGCGGGCGGGCGCCCCGGCCTCCCTGTCGACCGGGCTGGCACCGCCCCTTCAGACACCGCCACCAGCATCGTCATCGTCATCGTCATCGTCATCGTCATCGTGTTCGTGGTCATCGCCCCCGGCGCATGCCGGGCCGGCGCCGCCACCACCCCTGGAGCCGCTGCTGACTGCGCTAGTGGCGCCGACCGGCTCGTGCATGATCTCCTCGCTGACGGTCCTGGGCCCGGTCCCTTCGGATGGCGGGCCTTTGCTGGTCCTGCTGGCCGGGACCTTCTCCGTGGCCGGGAGCCTGGCCGGATCCGGGTATCCCTCGCTCGGGGAGGCCTCCGACGCGGACCAGCTGCTGGCCATTCGCATGCCGGTGACCGGCCAGCCGGGCACTTCGGTGCTGGACCCGGAGGCCGGGACATGCCGGCTGCTGGTGGGCCCGGCCGGGACCGGAGCCGGGGCCTGGTCGCTCGGCCGGCCGGGCGCCAGCCCGGCCGCCGGGCGCCTCCCTTCGCAATTTTTCCTGCCCCATGGCATGCACGTCCCGGCATTGGGAGTGGCGCTGGGGCCGGATCGCATGGCGGCCGTGGTCCCCTCCACCGGTGGCCTGGTTCTGTTGGAGAGCGAGGCCCCGGGGCCGGGCGCGTCGGCCTCGTCGGCGTGCCCGGCCCGCCTCGAGCCGTGGATGGAGCTGCTGTGCGCGCGGCATGCCGTGCGTGGCGCGGCGCCCGTCAGCCCGGCCGGCAGCCAGCTGCTCCTTCACCTGCTCGATGGCACGGTGCTTGTCTGGAGCATTGCCGCCCGGGTGGCGGCCGCGGTGCCGGCCCCGGCCCCCGTCGGCTGTGCAATCTGCCTATACAGCGACCGGGTGGACCCGGCGGCGGCCGGTGGCTGGTCCAGCGTGCTACACTCCCGGGCCCCGGGGTTCGACCCGTTCGGCCCGCTGCCCCCGCCCCCCTCCCGCTAATAAGCCCCCATGGCCGACGTTGGCTCGGCGCCTTTTGGAGGAGCGAG